TGTTGTGCGGCTCGATTGTCAGGGGATCACAATTTGCACCGTTCTCTGGTGCGCAGGACTAGGTCACTGTTGAGAAGGGATAAGGAACAGTTTATCAGTAATCTTGCAGAGGAGATCGAAAGCCATTTCCTAGTAAATGACCTTCGTCCTGCCTACCAAGCTCTGAGAAAGCTGAACTCCAAGCCCTCCTCACAGACGACGGCAGTCCGCTCAGCAAGTGGCCAGGTAATCTCAGATCCTGATGGGTATTTTGAGCAGTTTTATCAGGTTGATCCACCAACCGTTAACTTGGATGCTGGTAATGTTGAGACTCCTCTGCCAGACCCACCCATCAGCGAGGATCCACCCTCCCTGACTGAAGTCAAGGGGGCGATCTCCAAGCTGAAGAGTGGTAAAGCAGCAGGTGTTTGTGGCATCCCAGCTGAATTGTTAAAGGCTATATAAAGTTTTATATACCTTGGTAGTGCAATTCATGACTCTGGGCTGTCAGACCAGGAAGTCAGTAAACGGATTGGCCTGGCAGCAGGAATCATGAAATCTCTCGACAAAAGTATTTGGAGATGCCGGTACCTGTGCAGAAGGACCAAGCTACGAGTTTTCAAGGCCCTGATACTGCCAGTTTTACTATATGGTAGTGAAACTTGGACGTTATCTTGTGCTTTGGAATCTTGTCTCGATGCCTTTTGTAACAGATCCTTGCGCCGGATCATGGGGTACAGTTGGCGGGACCATATGTCCAACCAACAGCTACACCGTGAAACCAGCACAGGACCTGTTACTTGCACAATCTGTGATCGCCAACTCAGGCTATATGGCCACTTGGCTCGATTCCTGCAGGATGATCCTGCCCATCAGGTTGTCTCTGTCCGAGACAACCCTGGGTGGAGGAGGCCTGTGGGACAACCGAGAAGGTCGTGGCTTTGGCAGATCGATCAAACCTGTCGTGAGGAACTAGAGATGGGCCGGGCCCCTGCTGATCTGGCTGCATTGTGGATGAAGGCTGACTCATATTTGTTTTCCTTCTATTTGCAGAATGTTAGTACATCAAAAGTCAGTGGATCAGAAATACGACCTGTTTCACAAACATCTGTGCCACTTATCTTGGATGAGAAGTTTGACAATGCCAGGTAATACTGAAATCTCAGGACTGATTCTGTTTACGTATGTTGATATCATACACATGATATTGATTGATTTGTATGTTTCTATATATTTAAGTTTCTTAAAATGTTCTGTGTCTATATATTTAAGTTTCTCAAAATGTTCTGATTTTTTTTATCACATTTAACAGAAATGTTGTTGCAGCCAGAGAGGCCTGGGTAGAGACATTAGATGCAAACACATCTGAAGTTGGTATGATAGCCCTCCACCCAGATGTTTTTGCTGTATGTCCAAGGATGGACATAATTCATGAAAATGTTGTATGGCAGAGAAAATACAAGATGGTGGTAAGTAAAATGGCTGAAAAAGAAATTAAAAAGCTCCTGTAAGAATGGATTTCTTCCTCTTTTTATTTCTTACTTCTCTTCCTCTCATTCCTTCAACTCTTCAATTATTCTATTTTAGTCTTGATCTGTTTTATGATTCTAAGTTCAATGAATGTCAGAAAATGTTTGATTATTATAGTCTTTTGTGCTTATGACTTTTTGTCTCCTTGCTGTCAATGTAATCTCACGGTTGTTTTGAAGGTGACATGATGTTATTAATATTTGCTAATAATGATTTCCTATATCTAATCAAATAAGATCACTTCCATTAAACTTTGCAGAGTAAGGCACACACCAAGACAAAACCGGAAGTACGAGGAGGAGGTAGAAAGCCGTGGCCTCAGAAAGGTACAGGTAGAGCCAGACATAGTTCTATTCGGTAAGTTCACATGCTCTTATAAAATCTCTCAGAAAATAGATTCATTGAGTGTCATTTTCTTTGAGGTAGAAGTGTCTTATGGGTTTCTTGCTGGAATTTATGTGGTTAGATTAAGATTTAGAGATTTTTATGAGAAGTTTGGTGTCATCAAGCTGTGTAATTAACTATTCTGGATAGAAACTTCTCAGTTTTCTTGCAGTTGTCCATGTAACTTTTTTTTCTTCTTCCAGATCACCACTGTGGGTTGGTGGTGGTGTCACTCATGGTCCAAGAGCATTTACTACCCAGTTTTATATGTTGCCTATAGTTACTAGAATTCATGGTCTTACATCAACACTGTCAGCTAAGTTTGCACAGGTAATTATCACTAGGTAGGAAAAGCCTCCTTAAATATTTAACAAGACAAGTCATGAAGGAACTTTGAAGCTGTATTCCCCCCAAAATTTAACTTGTTTGTGCCAGAAAATTATTTGAAAGGTACTCTAATGATAAAACTTTTCATTTCCTGTAGGATGATCTAAAGATTGTGGAGAGCTTGCAGATGGCATCAGATGAACCTGGGTACATAGAAAAGCTGTGTGAAAATCGCCAGTGGGGACCATCTGTTCTCTTTGTAGATGAGTAGGTGTTAACTGCTGTTTGTGGAGATTTTCTTTCTTCATCTTCTTTCTGGAACTTTCTGATTGTGTTGTTTTTTTCTTAACCCATTGCTGCCGGGGATGCCATGTATGTACATGCCATGCCCACTGTTTTTACACATAGATGGCTACACTTGTACTAAGTATCCAATGAGCCAATTACGAGTACTGCCTGTCTCGCCCGTTCACCCTTTTCATCGATTTACGAAAATTATCCTAATTTGCTGTTAAAAATATCACCATCTATATTTATAGCACTGGTAAAAATACGTTTTTTCCCGCCAATTCAAGGGAAGGTGAAATCAGAACTAGCAGAGCCATCTATGGACAGAGATATTTCACAAAAATATAAAAAATGAGTACTGCATTTCCCCCATTTTTTGTTCATTTTCCCCTGCGGCAGTGGGTTAATTGCTCAAAATTTTGAATATCAGTTATTTTGATTAATTAAATTCTTTTTTAAAATTATTTTTTGTAGTAGTAAAAGCATTTACTGCCATAATATGAGGTCTGAGTTTGAATTACAAAAATCTTTTCTATGGTACTGAAAAAAAAAAGTGATTCAAAATTTTAACTATTATTGATAGCTATTTCCTTCTTTTCTTTTTTTTTATTGTAAGCTTTTACCCTCTTTCAGTTTGAGTAAAGCCTTTCTTAACCTATTTGCGACGGGTAAAAATGAACAAAAAATGGGGAAAATGCTTTTTGTGAAATGTCTCTACACATAGATGGCTCTGCCTTACCAGACTTCATTTGGCGGGAAAATGTATTTTTTACTAGTGCTATGAATATCGATGGTTAATTTTATGATAGACTTTATAATTACTATAATGTTATAAACATTAGTAACAGCAGAATAAGATAACGTAAAATATGTTTGTAAATAAAAGAAAAGGGTAAACAGGCGAGACAGGCAGTACAAATACAAGTGTAGCCATCTATGTGTAAATTAAACAAGTAAACTTACAGTGGGCATGTCACGTATACGTGACACCCGGCGCAAATGGGTTAACATTCACTTCAGGCAGTTTTTCATATTCACAGTCCCTCATCCTCTTCACCAATATACACACTCATTGCTTAAAGGAAATGCTCCAGTTCATGCTTGGATTATTCCCTCTAAGCAATGGGTCTATAAATATATCTTTTATATATGGGAATCTTTCTTTCTTTTAAATTATAAATTGTGTATATACATAAGAGAGAGAGTGAGTGAGTGAGTGTGAGAGAGAGAGAGAGTGTGTGTGTGAGAGAGAGAGTGTGTGTGTGTGTGTGTGAGAGAGAGAGAGTGTGTGTGTGAGAGAGAGAGAGAGAGTGTGTGTGAGAGGAGGAGAGAGAGTGTGGGTGAGTGTGTGGTTGTGAGTGTGTGTAGTGAGTGTGTGTTGTGAGTGTGTGTGTGAGTGTGTGTGTGAGTGTGTGTGGTGAGTGGGTGTGTGCGATGTGTGTGTGAGTGTGTGTGTGAGTTGTGTGAGTGGTGTGTGTGAGTGTGGTGGAGTGTGAGTGTGTGGTGTAGTGTGTGTGTTGTGTGGTGTGTGTGATGTGTGTGTGGTGTGTGTGGTGTGTGTGTGTGTGTGTGTGTGTGTGTGTGTGTGTGTAATTGTCTGTGAAAGTAAAGAATGTGAGACTAACCTTTCTGTGAAAGTTTGATCCTATCATTTTTTTTTACATCAATTTTCATTTGTATGTGATTGATGTCTCATATCAGAAAAATCTTTTGGTCAAGAATTGTGAATTGTATCTCATAACAGAACAATCTGTAGATAGTATAATAAAAGTTAAGATTTTTTTTTTTGTATTCTTTAATAATTAGATCATAAAATAGTATTTCATTTTGACCATAACTTATATGTTTTCATGTTTGAAAGAAAGGTTAACAGCAATCAGGTGATATTAGGATGCCAAAAGAAGAAGAAGAAAACTTGCTACTGTAGATTATGTCATTAATAAAAAGGATGAAGAAATAGGATATAGCACTAATGCCATTTCTGAATATTTTCAGCACTGACCTGATGCCCCGTAATATTACCATTGCCACAGATACAATACAGCACATGAACCTCATGCCAGTTTATGGTGAGTCAGGATATGTTGTAATAGAGTTTGATTTGCTTCACTCATTACTGTGCAATATATATTATATTTGATATATGTGATTAAGATTTTCTTAAATATATGTGTGAAGTCTTTTCTACCTTATTTTACAGGGTTAAATGTGTATAGTATGCTAAAACATTCTACACTTGTTTTGACTGTGGATGCAGTACGTCGCTTGGAGGAAAGGATACTTTATCACTTAAACAAGCCAGACTTGTATAAGGAAAATGCAACCCCTTTCAATAAACAGAAATAATTTCAAGATAAATTTCAAGATTTCAACCTTCATAAACAATTGGTGTATATAGAGAAAGATGCACAGCAGTTCATGTGCTACCAAATTGTACAGGTAAATTTTTAAAGAAAAAGGTAGTACAGAGTTTAATAAATGTTAAAACTTTA